GGGATGCACTTCTACGCTCCTCAACAGCGTTCGGATCATCAGAAAAGTCGGCATGTACGCTTCTGGACAGAATTGCCGTCGCGGCGAAGGAGATGATGGATGCGGGGTACGTCTTGCAATTTACGTCCACTTGATCTTGAATCACTCAACTTTAGATCCAGGAAGAACGCGATTGGTGTTTTACATGGCCTTCTGTTGTTCCTTGGCGAATCGTACTCCAACGGTGGTTTCCAGGGCATTCCTAACGTGCTCCTCTCCATTGCTCGAGACCTACTTGCGAGTTCTTATCCTCCAACGCCAACGACAGTAGATGATTGCCAGATGCTAATATTTCTGCTCAGCAATCTCCTCGGAAGGGGGTGTATGACACGACGTCTGGCTTTGCTCTCCATTGTCAAAGATGCTCTCGTCCCTTGGTTCGCCGATAGGGATATGATCCTGGCCGAAGGCTGTTACAACGATATTGTGAGTAAAATTCATCATGCATTGGTACTTTCGTAAATTTGAATTGCATCTGTCTTCAGCTTCAGTTTTTGTACTCCGAAGCTATCAACATCATCCTCTCCAATGGGTCCACCCAAGCTCTGGTATTTGAATTCGCGGATTTTCTTGCTGCACCATTCTTGCGTCCAGACATTCCCCGACCCGCCGTAGGCCCTACGTCATTCAAGTCATTCTGGGAAACCGCAAGCCAGAACATAAAGTTCAACAATGACGACTGTCCTGAAAGCATCAAGTTCTGTCTGTTTCGCTTGCAGGAGTTTGGGCACAAACTACCAGCGTGGCTACAAGAAGGATCGTTTGAAAGTCCTTCGTCTGTGCTAGTAAGTAATGGTCTTCATATTCTGTTGGTCCTCGTGTTCACGACACTCATGCAAAATCTCAGCAATCACCTATATCATACATTGTTTCTCCCTCCGTGGTCAGCACGCCCGTGTCTCCTGCAGTTCCATTGTCAGTCCTGGCGCTCAGGGCGTCTCCAATCGCAAAACGCTCTCCCTTTTCGCCTGTAAATGAGCGGTTCAACGACCTTAGTCCTTGTCCCTTGAGGGTAACTCAACTCGAATCACCGACGTCCCCCGCTCCGATGACTCTCAAGCGAACTTCCATGCTTGGTACGTTGCTCACTTTAACTTTCTCTTTTTCACAGAAACTCACGAAGCTTGACTTCGCTAGGAAGTAGGCCGCCGAAGCGTCGGAGAGTCGAGACCAATGCTGAAGCTTCATCGTCAAAGGTTGACCCGCGTCAATCTCAGACCGCGTCAAAAGTCGATCAAAATGTCCCTCTAACTCGCGCTCCCCGAGGCTCGCCCATGCGGGAAGCCGCACCTCGAAAGAAACGATTGCTCCTTGATGTGATCGAGGTTGAGCCGTTGCGAAGCTCCTTGAAGAGAAAGTACAAAGCTCTGAATTCTGATGAATACACCGGTAAGTCATCGTTGTCGGTATCGAAGAGTGTCAGCCATAATCAAGCATTGATGACTTCTAAGGTTTCGCATTCACGTCTCCTCGAATCAAGTCCGAAGATGATTCGTATATGGAAGAATATTCTTCATGGGAGGTTGGGCTTTCTTCCCAAGACGTGACGGACGCAATGGAGATGGCTTCTCAAGGTATGTAAAGCAATTTAGGAACTTGTCTCGATATTAATTTTCACATAGATCAGAGTTCCGGTAGCAAAAGCTGTTGTTCGAACGAAACCCCTGATACGTCGGTGGAAATCGAGATCGAAGGAAACAGCAGTTTTTTGTCCGGTGCCGGTTTTGTAACGAGCGATTCATTATCTGGCGAGCATTCCTTGCAAATTTCGACGTCTGACAAGTTTTTTGACTTCGCAACAGTTTCGCATGATCTCCCCAAACGAGTGAAGGATCGTTCTCAGACGGTGCCGCCAGTACTTCCATCTTTTTCTCCCTCAACGTCTCTTGCACCTAATCCGCGATTAGCGAACTCAATACATCCACCCAGTGGATCACAAGCATCACCACATATCCATCGCTCAGCTACATCCCCACTCCCTCTCGATATGCTACGGTGCATTCAGAAATATGTATCAGCTGAGGACGTCGACGAAATGCAAACGCAGCTGCTCGCGCAGACAGCCGATGTAGTTCACGATATCGCTGGCAAACTGAGGACGGCGATGGCAAAGAAGCTCACCGGCGATCGGCGGCCTTCTCGCGCCCCCAGCTCCTAACGAACCCGACCGACATCACGACTATCATTATTATTTTTTATTGGCGACCTGCACTGTTTCTCTACTCAAGACCTGTATGTATCGTGTACTCGTAGATGTATTCTCTGGTTCCCTATTCCCCTGTTCTTCTATGGGTAGTGTTTGTACTGGCGAATTAGCCCGCGTCTTCTCTAGTTGAAGACATTGCAGCCGTACGACGTGTTGCCTTCGCGAGTGAAGGTGACAATGTGATCTACATGTACTTTTCAGTATCAAATCCATTGGCAATGGAAAGAAGACATACCTCCTAGAATCCTCATAGTAAATCCAACTTCACAATAACAGCTATAATATGATCAACGGTCAGAAGTGACATGACGAGGACGAGATATGGGACCTACAAATAATCTAATATTTTTTTTCATTAGCGACGTTTTCAAAAAAGACACAGTAAACTGCAAAAACTCACAAATCCACTTCCTCTTGAAGACCTCGATCTCTCGATCCGCCTGCTCCGCGCCTGCACGCATGATTTCTGGATGCTCCTCTCGTAGTGCAGGAGCTATGATGTCGTCGAATTTATCCAGGAATCGCTGACGCCATTCTCTCAGCGTACGAGCGTAATGGGGACCGATGTTCGATATGGACTCGACGATGAGCCGGCCTTTCGAGCCTGCTGTGAGCGTTTGATGAATAAAGGAGACGGATGGGAGCATTCCGCCAGGGAAGACTGAGGTGATTATGTTACTAAGTAGTCGACGAAGAAATTGAGATGATACTTACTCTACATCAAATCGGATAGAGCACTCGGATAAGCAATACGCAGAAGAGTAAATCAAAAGTCTTACCCATTTACGAATGAAGTCGATCTCTGAGGAGTATTTCTCGTAACCTAACTGCTGTGAACGTCAAGTAATGAATGCAGATATGCACTTACGCGACTCAGGGATAGTAATGCTTTGCACTACCCCGACGCCCCCTTCTTTCTTCAAGGCCCAATCCACGACTCTCCAATACTCCTCCATAAATTCCTTCCCCACTGCTTCCAACATCTCCACGCTCACAAGTCTGTCGAAACGCCCTTCCCATTCCTTCGGCATAGCACGATAATCCATTAGATGCACATTCACGCGGCTTTCGACATCCGGGCCCGCGTCCGCCATGCGCTTGCGAGCCCATGCGAGCTGCTGGGAGGAAAGAGTGATGGTATCGACGGTGACGCCTGCAAAAGCCGGATTCGTCGCAATCCGCAGAGAGAGCGAGCCCCACCCGGACCCAATTTCGAGCACCCGGTGTCCTGGTTGGATATTCGCAAGACGTATGATATGGTCGATCTTTCGCAGCTGGGCTTCCTCCAATTCATCGTATTCGTCTTCCGATTCGATGGAGACACTATTCGCTTCGTCGCCATTTAATTTGTGCACCCCATTGATTCCGTTGACACCATTTGCGTGTTGCCCTTCATGGAGACAATCCGACTTCGCCGCGCCATTGATCTTAAGAACACCATTGGTTTTGTTGGTGTGAAGCCCAATGATAGAACTCTCAGCGACCGACACGTTGTTCTGGCGACGGACGCACGCTCGGTCTGAATCTGAATCCAATTCTTCAAAAATTGCACAAGAATACGTCATGTCTTTAGACAAAAATCCTGCGTGGAAAGTTACGTTCGCAAGTCAGAACATTCGCGAAGTAGGGATGACATACCAGCAAACATATCATTCGAGATATCATAGTGTGCAGAGATATTGGAGCGCGAGTTGCTCAATGTGTTGAGGAACCGGTAGGAAGTGATCTTCTGTGGGATGCTAGACAAAAAGGAAAATCTCGAGTTGAGCTGCTCCAGACGGCTCTTATTTTGGAGGAATATCTGAGAGATATCCAGTATCTGTTTTTCGAAATTTATTGAAAGTTCGTACCAAGAAGAGAGGGATAAGGTCGTCGCATACGACCTCCCCGTACATATAAGCTTCGGAAAATCCCAGGTCGCCCATCAAGCACAACCGAAGCCAGAACGTCTCTTCTTTGACACGTAGAACGACTCGCCCGGGTTCCCCGGACTCTCGAAATCCAAATTGTTTCCTTGGTGATTTTCCGAATGAGTATACCTGCGAGGAGGTGATTATCCTAAGGTTGCCCTCTTCGATATTATCCAGGACTCTTCAATCGATAAATTCAACGTCGACGGTTTCCTTGGGTGAGAACGAGCGCTTCACTTAAGATATGATCAACTTACGACACAACTGCCATTTCTGCGAGCCATGTCAACATGGGGAGCATGGGTGTCGATACGGATTGCCAGGCTGAGTGCAAAATTCGTCCGACAGGCATTCTGGAGCTCCTGAGCACTTGAGAAGATGGTGGTCGTTGGGAGGAACGAGATAGGCGACCTTGACACCGTTTGACCCGTCATGGTAAAAAATCTGCTTCATGGTGGTTGTGACGAAAAGGGAGCCGCCGATCACCAGCTCGATCGAACACTTCATTTTCTAATCTTGGTCCGTGCGAGAATATTCCCAGTTGCTATCCACCCTGCGAATACAGAACGAATTCCATAGAACAGATTAAGATTGAAAAGGCGTTTGAAAGTGAGGGGGGCAAATGGGTGTCGGTGACAGATAAAAAGTCGATCTGAGTCCAAAGAAAAAACATAACAACATGAGTCTGCTTGGTCGGAGATCTGATTTACGAATTTTGCATCTCATCAACAGATACAGCAGAAGAGTTCTCGATGGCATACATACGTATCCCAAACCCTCGGACTCGGCTCATTCGAAGGGTCGTTTTATGCAGGAAAAAGAGAGGAGAAAAAAGGCGAAAAATATGTTTCGACCAGGACTCGAACCTGAGACCTTCTGTGTTTGGATGTTAGACAGAAATCATAACCAACTAGACCATCGAAACGATGCATATGACACTCTATAGTTTTACCATATATGTATCCAAAGCAATTCACTTCAAATGAGAATGCACAACATTCAATCTGAACAATCTCACTAAACTACCCTACTCTATCCTGACTGGAGTTCATACCCTGTATTCCAACAAAACCATATAATGTTAGTACATAATAGCCGGCTTTGTATTCTTCAGGCGCCTTTAGAATACAGGAGCGTCTCGCAAAAACAGTCGCCCCTCCTCGCGTTTCACCCAACGAGCGACCGTATTCGCGATATCCACAATACTAGACTTTGGCAGATCAGGCGAGACTGAGATGTACAGCTCAAATGGCTGCGTGATCTAAGGGACATCCAGACGAATGAGACGCGATATTTCTTGTCGCGAAATAGCACACACCCAACCCATGACACAGTCCTTGTCCGTCTTGATGTACTGGAGCTTGAGAGCCTCCTTCGCACCTTGTCCAGATTTCGCGTGTATAGCGTCGTGAATTGTCTGGTAAAGAGTAATCACCCTAGAATGTGTCGTCGGTGTCAAGAAGAGCGGGGATGAATGGTACAAACCCACCTTCTTCGTGCAGCAAGTCCAACATAGTCGTCACCCCATACAGGACATGTCACTTGTACCAACGATCGATTCTTGTATATGAAATGTCGTAGACCGGAGATTCCCAATGACGAGACGGAATAATCGCCACCGAATCCATATTTCATGGCTTTGACGGGGTTCCGGGGGCGTCTACGTATCGACGTATGTATCGCAGGCAGAGTTCCGGACTCCTCAAGGTTCTGCCCTACATGTGAGCCCATCCGGATATTAATTTTCTATTTCTATTTACGCACCTGGACAACACCTTCGCACCAAGTCCGTATATTTTCGAATTCACCTCCGCCTCCACCACTAATGCAAACTAGAGCTGTCCCAATTCGGCCCCGTAAATGAGACGTGTCAAAAGTTGCAGTAGGCGGAGGGGATAGTATTATTGAAGTTTCGGAAGATGACGCCGTAGACGAAGACGTATAGGGAACACTAGCATCCGGCACATCTGCATGCCTTTCTGTGGGTTTCGATGTTGGAGGGTCTGTCTGTACGGCATCCCCTGATCCAACGGCGTCGCTTGACGTGGTCTGTGCTTCGCTCTGGGTATCTTCTATTACTGTATCCCCTGGTCTTAGGAATTGAACATATGCGTGAAGAAATCCATCTGCGTTGAATTTAGGCAAGCATATCGGTAGCCAAGAAACGGGTGTCGTTGTGGCTGCTTCGAAGATCGCAGGTGCATGAATGGTGTTGAGAAGGATATGTAAATCTGTGTTGTGAATTAGTATCATGCAATGAAAAGATGAGTGTAAACAACCTGCAGGATGGACGGAGCGTTTCCGTGGTCGAACTATTGTCAAAACTCGTCCCCGGGATATCAGCATAACGTAGAGAACTTCCTATGCGGCAGCATAAATCTCTGGCAAAATTATGGGGCGATAGTTATTCACCTTCATCTTAGAATTCGGGACTAAAATCTCGCCAGCTTTTCGACGTAACGTAGCGTCGAGAGGTAAGCAATGCAGTGACGAGGTGCTTATAGCAAGGTCAGTCTGTAATCGCGTGAGCATTAAGTGCAAGAATGTCTCTGCGCCTCCCAGCAATCGTCTCAAATCGAAATTAGCTCTCCGCTCGAAGACACGCTTCAGCTGTGAGGCGGTCACGATGCTCAATATTTGCATGTGCAGATATTCGAGATGCGACCTAGTCTTCCTGGCCGAATCGATTAAAGACTTTGACAACTCTGACGTCCTCTGAATCACTCACCACTGACTCTGGCTCTCCCCATTTGCTCACACAACAATAGTAGAGGGGTGTCCTAAGCAGAAAGCTTATCCTTGTTTTCCCCGCGTTGATGAATCGTAGTTTATCGCCATCGTCAATGAAGACCGAAAGTAAGGCCTGCATGAGCCCAGCCGTAGAAGCAAGGTTATCATAATCATCTGCAAGAGTCGAGGAAGCAAACACTGGTTTCCCTGCATCCGTGAGTACGAAGTATTGCCGTGGTTCTATCGGATCTGAGGAGTAATAGATGAAGTTCTGGAATTCGTTAGAACTGATTTCGCATACCAGGCAAATTGGCTTCAATCTCTTCGGCTTGTGAAGCCATTTCATCCACTACGCACAGGTATTATTATCGAATGGCGGCTTCAAAAGCGAAAAGCATACCTTCCGAAGGGCGAGCTGGGACAACAGTGTCGATCGAGGACTCTCGTCGACGAGTCAACGTGCGCTTGAGTTGCTCTCGTAGGTTCTTCCGTGCTTCCTCGTCGACAACGCCGTCTACATGATGTCCGACGGCCACTCCCTCTTCCCCATCGCCCGTCTCTGGCTCGTCTTTGACAAGTATACCATCTCCGCTTCCCTCGAAACTCATGTTGAACATGGAGGAGTTCGAGCTTTCGATCTCTCCGTGGTCCGGGGTGGCCGATGATGGCAACGAGAGATGAGGGGGAAGCGCGGAGGCAGTCAATCCTGTCAACGCTGGGGAGTTACGACCAGAGCTTTGGGAGCGTAATTTAGAGTGGGACGCTATGGGACGGAGAGTGGGTGGCAACAACGAGGGCGATGGTGTAGTTGGACGGCTTGAGGTGCGCGAGCGTGCTGGCGTGGCCGAGCCTGACGTCCGACGAGATGGGGGGTTAGATTTCGAGGAGCTGGCAGACATTCTCGGACTCTAAGAAACACAGGAGAATTTCATGAGTATGTCAGAGTTGTCGGTGATCGTTGGAAGTAAGTTGCAGAAGGCGTGGTCATCGAATTCGACGTCGATCACAAGCGACGGACACGCTTTCAAAGTTCAACAGAACGGCCATGTCGCTGACACTCCTTCAGCGTTGTGTGCGTTGCTGCACACCATCTTCCTCTATTCTGTCTCGCTCCTTCATCAATCATGCAGCTCAAAGAACGCCCCCCAAACCAACAGGTATGATTTTGAATTTCCGAGGAGGTGGTCGTTGACGACTCGGACAGAGAGGATACTGGACGCCAAATCATTTCTTTCTGCAATTGGAAGGTCTTCCGACTCAAAAGTAAAGGTGGAGGAATGGAATGACTTATGGAAGATGAACGGGCGAAATTTGAAGGAACAAGGTGTCGCAGTTCGCGACAGAAGGTGTGCAATCGAAATCATTCGTCCTTGCGAGCCCGAATTTACACTCCACCTCCACGCTTAGATACATCCTCTGGGCTATGGAGAGATTCCGTCAAGGAGAAAATCCAACCCAATTCGCCCATGAGATGAAACCGAAGAAGAAGATTAGAGGGTGAGCTTCAAGCGAAGTTCGAGCTCTGCACCATTTATTGACCACTTCGCATGCTAGCCGAGGGCCCTCAGTACAGTTCGGAAAGCGTATTCGATCGCGAAGAAAGCGGTAGATAGTGTTCCCCTTTTGCACTTCTATCGTATACTGTACGGGCACATCCGTATAATTCTCCAACATGCATAGTTTCACCCATCCTACTCTTCGCACCGCGAATTGGTCTGGCGTTAAAGTCGGTTTAATCGAAATTTGTCCTTGTAAGTCTCACTCGCACTTCTGCCGTGGTCGCGGCTGCCGTTGCAATTGTGGCTGCAGAGACCCACCTGATCGAATTTGTGAATAAGTGAGTGCTTGCAGTGAAATCAAGCGCACACCATTGCTCAAATATTTCTAGTTGCGGTTTTGGAACTGTAAGATGTTTATTGTTCACGAGAATCACGGTCAACTGATTTTCACTAGCCTATGCTCGTACAGAACGGGAGCGTGTTGTCCACAGGTGCCGCCGTCACTGTGAACGGACCTCTAATTGATGCCATTGCGTGAGTGCGTTCAGTGTAATGAAATAGCTGTTAATGCATGATTTCGTTCAAGATTCTTGCAAACTGGTTCGTCATCTTGCATTCTCTTCGCCACATCTACTTGAATAAAGGTCTCTTTTTGTTCAAGGTGCTTGCGGCGACAACGGGGAGGGCTGCGGCATTGTACAGACTACGCTGCAGAACCCGACAACTCCCGGCACTGGATCTTGCACGGAAGTCGTGTTGATACCTCCGTAAGTCATGATTAAGCTGTCGATACATAGCTGACGATTTCCAGTCATACATTCGTAACCGCCATCGGGTTTGGGTATGCATGCTTAATGCCTCCGCTTCGACTTCTGTATTTCTCATAGCTATTATTCTTGCAGTTATTTCAATGGATGCGACGGTGCGGGAATGGATTGTGCGTAGTTTCATAGCATGAGGATTTTAGAAG